GTACACAGAACCAGCTAGCAGATATACTAGACGAAGGCACTGGGCAAAGTCAGGTTCATCGAGCTGAGGCAGCAGCTAGGTGTGATAGAGGTGCAGCGAGATTAGGGGGTGAAATGTTGTCATAATCTCGTGCACACTTAGTCATCATTCTGTAATTAGGCAGTTGCATTTAGTTGCACGTTTACAATTCCTAAAAGTTAGCTAGCTGCATGTCAGATGAGCGGTGGAGAGGGCCAGAACCATGCTGCGTTCATGGTGCGGCTATGAGTGGTCACCGCCATGCGTGTATGAAACGTTCCCGCGCACAAGGCGGGCACGACGCAGCGTGAGGCGCGCATGGCGGGGGGATCGTTGGTCATAGACCATGTAAACACCGTGAATAAATAGAAACAAGAAAGACCGAGAAAGCTGCAACGTTTTGGCAGCGCCACTTCTTTCGTATTCAGTTACATTCAGAGCGAGCGAAAGAGCGCAGGCGACGTCGTGCGCGAGCGCGGTCACCGAGCGTTGAGAGATCGCCGTCGGCACAGCCATTCCGGCAGCCGGCGCCAACACTCGGGCCATATCACCGCTCTGGATCTCAGTGGTCTTGGCTTGCACAGCAAAGGAATTGACCCAGTGATCTTCAATCTCACCTCCCTCAGGCTGCTCGACCTGAGCATGAATGATTTTGGTGGCACCAGCTACTATCATCCATCAGATGGTTTCGAGAGGCTTTCATTGCTTACCCATCTCAACCTCTCAAATGCTGGCATCTCAGGTCAGATACCTAAGGACATTAGCAAACTCGATAACCTTGTCTCCTTAGATCTTTCTTGCAGTTTCACTACTATTGATGATGGTGGAAACACTGTCTATATTGAAGCCTGTGAACCCTGGGAGAACTACTTCCAGAACCTTGTGGCAAACCTCAGCAATTTGAGAGTGCTTAAACTCGATGGAGTATTTATTTCAGCTCGTGCAGAAGATTGCTTCAAAGCTCTTGCTAAATCTGTTCCCCATCTAAGGGTTTTTAGCTTGGACAGTTGTGGTCTGCAAGGTCATATTGACCACTCTCTGTCGAGGCTCCACTCTCTGTTCGTGATCAACCTCAGCAACAATTTTGGTATGACCTCTGGTCCATTTCCAGAGTTCTTCATGAATTTTGTCAATCTGAGTGTACTTCGACTAGCTGAAATTAACCTTGAAGGGTGGTTCCCTCCTATAATATTTCAATCAAAAAATCTAAGGGTTCTAGACTTGTCTCACAATCTGAATCTCTCAGGGCACATGCCAAAAGTTTCTAATGCCAATTCTTTGGAGACACTAAAGCTGCATATGACCAATTTTTCCTATGGTAAACCAAATTACTTCAGCAATTCCAAGTCACTGATAGAGTTAGGTCTTGATGGACAAATTATTTCCTTGGATTTCCTCTCTTCATTCGGTATACTTGCGTCCTTGCGTAAAGTGGTCCTAACTCGATTGGATTTACCAAGCGAAATGAACTCAACATTTATATGGATAGAAGGCATGAAGAACCTGATGAGCTTGGAATTCTTCGAATGCGACTTCTCTGTGACAACTCTGTTCATTCGAAATTCCAAAAACTTGAGAAGTTTATTGATATCTGATAGCAATCTCAAAGCACAAACATTATCATCAGTTGCCAATCTGATAAGCTTGAAAACTTGAGAAGTTTATTGGAGAAATTGCCATTCACTATTGGGAATATGAGTAACTTGGAGATATTGGAAATCTTCGATTGTCGTCTTTCTGAGACAATACCAGATGCAGTTGGAGAAATAAGGAAATTGAAATCACTGACACTAGGATACACCGATATTTCTGGCAAAATACCAAGTTCAATTGGTAATTTGACTCAACTGGCTCAACTGTCGATCTATAATAGTCATCTCAGTGGTAAGACTACCTCACTCATAATTACACCAAACTAACCAATTAGACCACACAACTGAGAATTTATGGTTGTTTTCTCATATTTTTGTTACAAATTGTAGTGTTTATAAATTATCACCATTATCAATGTCTTGTTTGTTTTGTAATTCTAAAGTATATTCTCTACTCCCTCTATCCCACAATGACAAAATAGATTTTTGACCCTAAATTTCTCTTATAATATGCTGTCATTTGCTAAAAAATCAATATCATATCAAATGCATTTAAATACAAATCTATTTATGCAAGTTTTGTGTTCTAAAATATTATATCATCTGACTAATTGTTGGTCAAAGTTTGTAATATTTATCTTCTCCCTAACAAAATATGCTTATCATTCTACAACAAGAGAATACTATCAAAGTAGACCAACTTTTAGGCCTCTTAAGTTAGTTCTCTATAAATTGGTCGTATTCAAATATCTACATCTTCTATAAACTGAATATTTAGAGATGATATTGATTGTTTGTCTGCACCCCAATTGTGCATTGCCTAAACATGTCTAGACTACCAAGATGATACGAATCCAATGGTACCAAAACATCTCGGCCACACAGGCTGAGAGTAAAACAATAGTGGGACCGGATATTAAATCCTGATCCCCTGTTGAGGACTACCGCACTCACATCATACAAATACCCAAGATCTTCCGATAGTCCCACAGCCATTCCACATCTCCTCGTGCAAACAACAATACCTTGTGCGTTGAGAGTTGGATAGTACTCTAAAATCTACTTATGGCCTAACCCCCACTTGGAATAAGTCTACATATGCACAAATCTCCAATGGGGTGTTGGAAGATTATTCAGGGGTGACACTGACAACTTAAACAAGTGATATCACATCATTATATAGGACCGAGGGTGGTCCTATACATTGGAGAGGCTCTAACTCCATATGTGGCCTTAGGCACCTCTTTACACCTCATCATCATGACTTCATGGCATCACTTCTAGCTTTCACGGTGCTAGCCTAGTCCAATCAAACCATGCTACCATGCTGCTATTTTGGACTACTCCGCTCCACGTTTTTCAGCTATGTTCCTAACTTCACTAGCCAAACAGGGACAACTCCACGAACTCTGCTCTAGAAAAAGGTTAGATGAGGGCCAACTTCAGGTGTTTTTTGTGGAGCTACTCTATGGTGTAGTTAGTGGAGCAGAGCTAGTTCATCAGACGGAGTGAAACAGTCTCAAATAGGCCCTACATGATACCCATTGTGTTTAGGCACTTCGCCTCACCTCCATGCTACATATGGAAGCTGCTAACATGTGTTGTTCGTTGATTCACACTCATTGTTGGGTGCACGAGTGTCAAATCTGATCATGGAGGCCATTGATCTATTGTCACTTGAGGCTCCAATTACCGCATCCACCAAACCTGAGAACTTGGCTAGGGGCGAAGGAGCCGTGGGTGATGATGATTTTGCTAGAGAAGCGGTTCTGGACACTACAGAGTGATAGTCACACACGTCGTGCTCCCCTAACTGGCGCGTCAGCTGTTGCGGGTTTGAAACCGTGGCAAGCATTGGGTTTGTTCATCGGAAGAAGATGTGTGGGTCTCTAGTGGCTCAAACACTCAAAACACGCAAGGGACATGATCGATTTGTCCTAGTTTGGGCTTCTGAGCCCTGCGTCCAGCAGTATAGTGTTCATCATGTTAGGAGTGCCCAATTAGGAGTTTACAACAGAGAAATTTGGAGAGAGTTTGGCATGGGATTGCATGGTGCTATCCTAGGGTTCTTGGTTTCTTCCTCGGGGTCGGTCTCCCAGCCCTTCAGTTATCTAGGGTTCCTATCGATCAGTCTTTTGATACCCCTTCTAGTGTGCACATCTACTCCAAGGATGCCTCCCCTTATATTCCAAGGAGGGCATGGTGTACAAGTCATTGTCAATTCTATCCTAAGGCTTTCCACCGGGTGCTTACCATTCCTTCATCTTAGCATAGTTTGGTACTTCTTTGTCATGTAAGAGGGAGTCGATAATGTCGCAACCACTCCTTGATGCCGCTGCCATAGTCTGGTGCTTGATCGTCAGGGCCTGCCTGCCACTGTGTCGAGTCCCCGGATGAGCCTTCTTGAGGCTTCCTTGGTGCGTAAGGTGCCTCCCCTTCCTAGAGGGGCTGACGAGCAAGCTCGAAGCCCTCTACCCTTGGAGTTTGGGGAGTCCCTTGTCCTGATGCATCACGCCTATTGTGTGATCCCGCTGAGGGCTGTGCTTGTCATGCTCTAGGAGCCTAACAATTTCCTAAGCTGGCTTTTGGTCATGGCTTAGGACATCAGTTACACCCAGGCCGCTAGTGCGGGGGTCAAGTCCGGGCTCCCATAGTTCGGGAGTCCAGTGCTACGACCGAGCCCCCGAGGCCCGAGCTATGGTTGTAGGGGCACTCAGGCTCATCCTGGTTCTGCCAAATGTACAAGTGAGAGTACCCGATGGGTATATCCACTGAGACCTGAGCGATTCATAGAGTCGGTCAGGGGTTCTATCTATCTACTATCTCCTTCTCGAGGACTTAACATACCCATATGTTAGACTCTTGTCACCTTGCTATTGGCACCATTGCTAGCCACAAGGGATTTTAGCGGCCAGGGCTAGAGGCTCTGAGGAAAAATAGAGCGAGAGAAGTGACGGTGGCAGTGGCTAGGTTTCAAAGCGCCACCTGAGTCTCCTACACGAGTCCGATTTAATTCAGCACCCTATAGACTCTAGGTGATTCCATATTGTTGGAGTATATTTGGTAGTTTGAATAGTAATGTGGTATTTCCATATGTATCGAGAGAGGTGTCTTGCCCTCTAAGTCTTTCTACTCTATATATACTGCCCAAGGCATAATGCAATCCATTCCACACATTATATGCAATCCTTTTGTTTTCAAGGTACCATGAGTTTATTGTTTTCAATACTAAGCCAAGGCTTCTGCTATCTCCGTTGCTCTGCCCCGAAGGAAACACCCACCCTCATCAAAAGGGTTTTGGCTGTGGCTACTATTGATCCGCTACCCTAGCCTTGATAAGCAAAAGTAGATAACTAACTATCTGGGCCTTTGTGCTACTGCTATAGTCGATCACCTTACTCCTCCTCTGCATCATCATTCCGATGGGCTCATCCTCTAGCTAGTGTGCACATCTAGATTAATGATCAACTATCGTGCATCTATTCCTACCATTCATGGGGCACCTTCCCTTCCTCCCTAGCGACTGCAAAGGAGGGCCATAGGAGATGCCGAGCTGTCAGGGGAAAGGGGGGCACACTATGTGGGGACACTGTGGGGGTATTAACCCCTATACCCTTATGACTAGGCTTGGGCTGGCCCGGACCAGGGGGTCTGGCCCACTAGAAGACTACGCGTGGCCCGGCCAATCTGTTCGGAGTCCCGCGCAAGGAATCAAGGCAGATTTGGAGATCAAGCAAGATCCTAGTCGGTTAGAATAGGAATTCTTATCCAGCCACCTATGGCAATTGTAACTGGTTAGGATTAGTTTCCAGATCTGTAACCCTGCCCCCCAGACTATATAAGGCGGGCAGGGGACCCCTCTCAAAAACATTTCTCATTGACATACAACAATACAATCAGACGCAGGACGTAGGTATTATGCCTTCACGGCGGCCGAACCTGGATAAAACCTCGTGTCTGTCTTGCGTCACCATCTTGTTTGTAGCTTGCGCATCTGTCTGTCGATAATCTACTACCTTGGGCATACCCCTAGGTAGACTGCCGACCATATTTCGTCGACAGTGGCGCGCCAGGTAGGGGGTGTGCGTACTGCTCTCCAGACGAACAAGATGGTCAATATCCCCGGTTCCATGGCTACGCCGAACGGCCTCACGTTCACCATCGGCCAGATCACCTGGACCACTGGCTCCGACAACTTCATCGCCATGACCACGGCGGAGGCGCGGATTCAATCTGCGTCGACCACTGCTTCATCTGCATCAGCTACGGCTCCGACCATGGTGGATCTGGCTCTGGCCACGCCAGCATCGTCTTCAGCCAAGTCGACAACCCATCGTCCGCTTCCTCGCTACAAAGGGAGGCAGATCGACAACATCGACCTGCTCGACTCCATCGATCGGGTCGGCACCAAACTTGCCGAAACCCTATCTCTGGTAAGTTCGATTCAAAGTCAACCTAATGAGTAGGTAACCACTACCCATAATAGATCTACCTGACCAGCTCGGGCCAGTCGTCCTGCATGACTTGGTACGGATCTCGTGGTCACATCTACTCCTGAAGGGTGCTCCGTTCGTCGCCGGCCAGCCCCCACGCGGGTCTCCGGCTCTTCGAGTATGAAGCCTCGATGGAGAACTACCAGGCTTAGCCCTACGGCCTGCGCAACTTCGTCAACATGGTCCAGATTGAGGAGTATCAAGAAGGATTGGTCCACACAGTTCAAGATGGTGGCTCAAGCTCCCCGTCCGGCATCGCATCTAATGCCTCCGTCCACACCGAGCTCCAGCATCATGACAATGAAGGCGTTGAATATGATCTAGATATCCCAGACCACGCCCTAGGGTTCCCACGATTCCCATCCTTCCCACCAAGGTGAGGAGACTTGATCAATGTTGTTAGTAATGATGAACCACCGGCAGTTGGCGAAACAGAACAAGAAAGGCTGGCACGCGAAGCACGCAATATTGATCGGTTTAATCGCCGACAAGTCAAAGCCGAGGCAGAATAGGAGGCACGACGCATACGGGTCCAGCCATGCGACCTTAACAATGCCTTTGACAGGGTGGGGGACAAGTAGGTCTTCAGGACTCCAAGCGCCAACGTAGCTGTTGCTATGGCGACAATGCAACAACTACCCAATACCCCGGAAATCCAGGCAGTTCGTGATGATATACAAGCTTACCTGATGGCTGCTATGGCCCAGACCGTAGAGATTGTAAATCAAGCCCGGGCCCCATCCGTCTCAGTTGAATCAAGCCACAGCCGCCAGTACTCAAGTCGCTCATAGCCACCCAACCAACGTGGCTCGCGCAACAATGACCCATCAGACAACCGTCAAGGCAGAAACGGTGGTCATGATGGTGGTCGGGACGACAACCGCTGCAACTATCGGGATGACAACCGCCGAGACAACCGCGACAATCGCCGTGATAACCATGGTCGCAGGGTTAACTAGGGTGGCAATCGGGGTCACCATGATGGCAATAACAATCTCCGCCATTCCCTCGGAGAACGCGATCTGCGCGATCGCATTAACCAAAGAGCCAACGATCGTGCATCCCACGAAAGCTATCGCCGTATGGAATATGATACTACCCACGGCCCTCTGGGTTTGAAGTAGTTTACTCCACACCTTTGCCAAGTCATATGGCCCAAGAACTTCAAGCTCGAAAAACTTCAGAAGTACGACGGCAAGGAGAACCCCGAATTATGGGTCATGCTCTACGAAACCGTGTGCAGATCAGCCATGGCTGACGAGCACGTCATGTCTAATTACTTCCCAGTCGTCGTCGGCCATGCAGGCCACCAATGGCTGGTCAGCTTGCCGGCGAACTACTTTGATTCTTGGCAAGAGCTCAAGCAAGCATTCATCGACAACTTCAAATAGGACCTCAACAGCACCGACTCGCTGCACGATAGAATAGATAGGATATACAAATAATTTTAATTATTCATCTAGAGATACGAAACCCTATGAAAGCAAGCAATTAGGTACGAAATTAGAACCGAGGGCTTGCTACCTGATGAACCGGCGAATCAACGAGAAGAGGAATGAATCGGGGAACCATCGGATCGGCAATGCGTGGCTAGGGTTCACGATGCGCTGGATCGGCAGTGGAGATGCAATTGTAGTAAGTACTGTGATGTCGAGCTAGGTCACCGGCGAGGTTGCAATGTGGATGCTAGGGCACAAGCTTGATGTCGTTAGGGCAGGAGATCGATGGCACTGGGGCAGGGGATCAGCGGCTCTAGGTCAGAGGCCCGGGCACTGCGGCGGCGCTGTGGTTGAGGCGTGGATTAGAGGCAGCGCGTTGGAGCGGCTGTGCTGCACGGTGGCACGGGGAGGCGCGCGGTCACTACAGAGGATGGCGTGGCGGCACTGTTGTGGGAGCAGCGTGGGGAGGCGCAGCTGTGTGGCGGAGCTAGCAGGGGAGCAGGGCTGCGCTGGCATGGGAGAAGAGCATCGCAGGCGCGGGCGTGAACGAGGTGCGACGGCAATGGTGAGATGCGTAGCTAGGGCACAGTCTTGGCGATGTCAGCGCGGATGCAGAGCTAGGTCAAGGCGGTGCTGCGATTAAATGGGTCCCCCGACGGAATCGATAAGAAAGCAGAGAAGAAACCGGATCCCGTACGTTTTCTACTGACCGGACGCTCCGGTGGCAGCGACCGGATGCTGCCACCCAGCGTCCGGTCGATTCCAGAGAGGTCCAAATCCCCTGGAATCGCGACAGGACACGTTCGATCCCAACTGACCGGACACAGCCAGAGTCTGGTGCAAGCTATCTCCTTCGTCTTCGATCGACCGGACGTTGGGAGAACATAGTTTCAGCGTCCGGTCACTCCTTCTCAGCAGCAGTTCACCTCCTGTGAACTGACCGGACGCTGTACTTCAGAGTCCGGTGCAGCGTCCGGTCACTCTTTTTCCAACAAATCTTCAAAGTCTTTCGTGCTGCCTGTTCCCAATCAAGTCCCAACTCCAATAAGATCCAAATAAACACCAATTGGGACTGATGTGAGTGACCTCTCTCAGACCCTCAAATTTTTGAAAAATATTTTGCCTTAGGCTATAATTCTTTTTAAGAAAATAGGCAATAAGAGGGCAATTGAAGATAAACGACAAACAACAATCATGCATATGCAATGCAATACTTGAAAGTAAATTTAGTTGCTTGTCAAGTTTGATCCAAGGTTAAGCTTTTACACACGCTTTATGGCGGTTATCTTAACCATGTTAGACAAGCCCTATATGTATTGCCAAACATTAAACATGTTGTATATTACAATGCAATGCAGGGGACAACACAAGCTCATTTTTTAGTGAAGTTGCTAAAGTCAAGAACATTGAGCTCATTCCGCAATCTACAAAATGTTGCCTCATCTAGCGATTTAGTGAAGATATCCGCCAATTGATCCTCGGTCCTTACACCTTCTAGTGAAATATCATTTTTAGCAACATGATCTCTAAGAAAGTGATGACGGATATCTATGTGCTTGGTGCGAGAGTGTTGAACTAGATTATTTGCAAGTTTTACCGCACTTTCATTGTCGCACAAAAGAGGTACTTTTTCTAGAACTACACCATAGTCTAGCAAAGTTTGTTTCATGTAAAGTATTTGTGCACAACAAGCACCCGTGGCAATGTATTCCGCTTCGGTGGTGGACAAAGCCACACTATTTTGTTTCTTGGAGGACCAAGACACAAGTGATCTACCAAGCAAATGGCACCCTCCGGATGTGCTTTTTCTATCAACTTTGCAACCGGCATAATCCGAATCAGAATAGCCCACTAATTCAAATATAGCTCCTTTGGGATACCAAAGGCCAATGCTTAATGTGTGCTTAAGATATCTAAGGATTCTTTTAACGGCAATCAAATGAGTTTCCTTAGGATTAGCTTAAAATCTAGCACACATACACACACTAAACATGATGTCGGGCCTAGATGTGGTTAAATATAACAAGCTACCAATCATAGAGCGGTAGAGAGTTTGATCAACCGTGTTACCTCCCTCATCTAGGTCGAGATGTCCATTAGATGTCATTGGTGTCTTGATTGGCTTACATTCATCCATCTTGAATCTCTTGAGAAGATCATTTGTATATTTCTCTTGAGAGATAAAAATCCCTTCTCTTATTTGCTTGATTTGAAAACCAAGAAAGAATGTAAGCTCTCCAATCATTGACATCTCGAACTCTTTTGACATCAATTCACCAAACTCTTTGCAAGAATCTTCATTTGATGATCCAAAGATGATATCATCATATACTTGACAAATGAAGATATGTCCATCAAGCTTCTTGGTGAATAGTGTGGTGTCGACCTTCCCAATGGTGAAGCCCTTCTCAATTAGGAAGTCTCGAAGCTGCTCATACCAAGCTCTTGGGGCCTGCTTGAGCCCATATAATGCC